TTCTCTATTTTTGGCTGCTCTTCTTCTGGCCACGCAGCCTCACCCTCTGGCACCAAGTCTCTGGCACGTGTTGAGTCTTCTTGTAAATCAACTTAACTTACCAGAACAGCAGAAAACTATCCAGGTTTCCTCCTGTGCTCTTTCAAGAGTTAAATGTGCTCACAAATGGGAGTGGGCAGTACAAGACAGAGACTCAATGTCTCCCCTTTCCAGTAGTGATAAGCTGTTTTATGTGCTCATTAAGTCTCAAGAAATGGTACCCTTCGTGACACTGGGTTTTTTTCAAAGGAGTTTTATCCTTAAAAATGCAGGAAGCAAAGCAAAGTAAACAGAGGTGATCAGATGTGGGCAAGAGAGACGTGGATAAATCCCTTTGAGACTGCATATGGTAAAGGCCATCAAAAATGTCCATTTAAAGAAAGCTTTTATTCTCAGAGGAGCAGGACTCTAGGAAGGACACTAGCAAAAGCACCTTCCAGTCACTAACATTTTAATGCACTTCATATCTTTCTAGATAACAGCAGCAGCAGTAGCTTTTTAAATCTAATTCCATGAGGCTACTATGTCAGATTCCTACTGAAATGAAAAAGTAAAATGAGAATGCTGGTTTTCCATTATTTTTCAGCAGTGCCCTTATTCCCCTGCCAGGCATGAACAATATTACAGATGCCTAAAACTTGGCTACAGTCTCTCTGCCACTTGCATGAGAGCATACACCCTCATAAGGGCAGTTTTTCTCTAAATGATGCATATTTAAAAACCTTGGCATTCAATTTCACAGCTAGTCTTTAGTAGAATAACATGTTTTTATTCTTTCCCTTCCACTGAGGAGTTAATGCAATGATGAAGGCTGGTTTTAACCCTTCTTACATCTAATCAGCATATCCACTTGATTTCGAGTACCAGCACAAATGCAGTCGAGACATCATTGGAGGTGTATGCAAAGCCGAGGGACTTTGGCATTTTTAAGAATGAATCGATGAGAAAGAACATCCATTTGATTCAACCCTTATCTTGAATTCTCAAGGAATCGATCAGCACAAAGCAGGAGTAGCATCATTTGCTGCATATACTGAGCACATCAATACAGAAGTCACTGAGCAACAAATATAGCCCAAGCAATATTTTTAACAGTTTATGTGTTAACTATTCACTCTGTATGTTGGATGTGAATGTAATGCTGGGGAAAAGCACCAGACTGACAGCCCTGGTGCGTTGCTGTTTGCCTTTATAAGCAGAAGATACGGTGCAGGCAGCGGCAAGGGAAAGTTTCCTTGTGTCTACGCTGCAAATTGCTTTTGCAGGAACCAGATTGCTTTCTTAATCCAGCACTCTGGAAGGCTGCTACTGCACAAGGACTTGAGCAGGTAATATTGTTAAACAAATCTTCCCCTTGCCTTCCTAAACCCTGCATTTGCCACCCACACGGCCACATGGCCACCTGATAGAGCATGGGAATATGCTTACTGAATTACTTCATTATCCTTCATCGGCTGGACAGGGACTTTCATCCCATCCCTCAGTAAACAATGTCAGTGCTGCAACGTCTTGACGTCCCTCACATCCAGTTGCATAAACGCAATGGAGAAAGCTACGGCCTTAAAGCATTAAACACTCCCCCTGTTCACTGATCAGCTCATTAAATGTACCAGCAGCAAGCCACTCATTAGATTCAGGCTCTTATCCATCACCTTGAGATACCAGCTGTGAAATCATTGATAAAAAGGACAAAGGATAAAAGGGATATATTGGATTTCATACTGTTCAGAACCCCTGATGGCTTGAGATGTAAAAATGCTATTCTAACTTAGTATTCGCTAAGTGTTATACAAAGAAAGGGTTCTTTCACTGGCAGGTTCAAAGGTGCTTCTCAGCAGCAACCATATACCCAAAGCCAATTCTTTTCAAGATGCATAAAAACCATCATGCTCCGGATTTCATATGGCAAGGAATTTTAAAAGCAGGAGAGAATTTGGATTAAAAAAAATCCCTTTTATAATAAAAAGAGACATTTGTTGATAATTTTTCAATTGCTTTCTTGCAAGGGTTCTGTATTTCAATTTGTATGAGAACATTTCTTTAATAATTTAGCTACTTCTTTTTTTCTATGTTTTTCCCAGGCTGGGAAAAAAGATGTTGGGAATATTTGGTCAAAATTCTGCAGTTTTAAACACCACAGCCTTTGGAATGGAAATTAAGACAGTGTCAGACTGTAATGCGACCTCCTTGCAACATTCATGCCAGGTCCTCTTTTAAGTGCTTTCAACACTGCACACAGACCCACAGGGAAAAATCTTCTAAAAACACACTTCTATGCTACCAATAAGAAAGGGAATAAATTTAAATATTGTACAGATGGAAAAATATGGTCTGAAGATTTAATCTGCAGGGGAAATTACTTGGGGGCAGTATTAGTTTTCCTGACGTTGTCTCATCACACAAGTAACGTGTGTTGCCTCGCAGTTTTTGCAAGATTATGACTTAAACTTCAGTCCAAAGGAGTGTAAGGTATGTCCCAGCTCCCAGATACTGCTTGACTGATTTTGATGGAGCTTCCTCACCTCAGCTTAGGACTAGGCTCACAGACATAATTGCTTCATTGTTGTACATTGAAAGAAATAAAAATAAAGAAATAAGCAATTTATATCAGAGACCAAGTCTTTGTGCTATAAAACTTAATAAAACTTAAATAAACTTAATATAAAACTTAATATACTTTTTGCTGATTGCCAGCAGACGTAAAGACTGCAGAACCTGTCCGAGATGAGACCCAGCTGAAAGCTGATTTCAGGTGAAGTCCATACGAGTGGCAGTGAAAAGGATCCCCTTTCTGCTGTCGGAGGCGGCAAGTTCATTGGGGAAGGGGAAATGGCCATTGAAAAAACATAAACCAAACTACTTAAGTCTGTTCGAACTGTGAAGCTTCACTTATAAGACTGCCCTTCAGAGCAAATGCAAACTTGAAAATAATGGTAGCATATTTAAAACAGCCTTTAATACATACGACACTGATGTTTAATTCATGTGTTTAGTATTAGTAACTTTTGATCTGTCAGATGTAATTGTTTCACCCGAACCAGTAAAACCTACAAAGGTAACATTCCTATTCACATGACTCCAAATTAGGAAGGAATAGATTTCTGTTTACTGTAATTAACCTCCCTTTAATCCCGTATTTCATACTTACCCATAAGTTTGCTGTCAATCTTGACCTTATCTGTTCTTATGTATAAGTTAAGCTGTAGGGTTTCATTTGCACTATAGGAGAACTGGAAAAGATGACACGATAGAGATATTTATACCTTCATTTGGCAAGGTTAATTTCATGCGTTTTCTATGATTCTCAGTAATCAGAGCTGTGAAGGTTTTAGACACTATCCCAAACCTTATGGTCTTTTTTTCACCTTGGCCAAATACATTTATAGCAGAATGTTTTAATGAACCTAATCCTTCACAATCAAAATTTTCAAGTATCAAGGGACAGCAATATCTGAATACCCGCTTTTCATTAATTTAATTTAGATTTGGTTTTAAGTATCTAAGTAGCAAAGGTACTGTTCAGATTCAGTAAGTATAGCTGCTGACCCTGCTGAGTTCTCCCTTCCCACACCATCTGGCCCCATTACTTCTGTAGACACGGCAGACTTGCACCACATGGAGGGGAAATCTCTTGCATCTTTTGCAGTGCAACCCCCTCGTTATAGCCAAAGCACAAGGTTCACATGCTCCAAGACAGGAGCTTCTGCTCAGTTTGAAAGACAGCAGCAATAACAACTGGTGGGAAAGAAAAAGAGCAAAGAAAAATACAATGGCTTTATAAAGCAAATGCTTTGTGCTAGGCTCAAATGTGGCACAAATGCTAATTAGTTCTCAAAACTACTCTGTTAGCAAGCCTATATGACATAAAGGTTAAAGTCAGCATAACATTTGTAAGTCCAAATTTCAGCTTGATACATAGACTATTTTATTGAACATTATTTCCTTTCTCTGTAAAATAAACCAGAGTGAAAGAAGCATAGCTAGTAAGTAGCCAAATGACACCATACTGTTACCATTCCCATTTTTACAGATGTAAAATGGGAAAGATAATGAATTGGAGAGGGAGAGCTCTGAAATTCTCATCTTCTATCCTCAGTGATTTCATCAGATTGCATAAAAAGTGAAGAATAAAAGAGGAATGGTCCTGAATTCCTCCAGGGACAGTTCAATGAATCCATGGATTTCATAGATAGAGAAATAAAGGAGAAAGATCGAGGGCTTTGAGGGGTAGACCCCAGGAGCTCTGAGCCAAAGCTGCTGACTTTGACCACTACTGCCAAAGGAGAATCTCCATCAGAGCTGACTATCTTCTCTCAGGGAAACCAATATTATCCCTGTATTTCTGGACACATGTGGCCACTGGAACTATAAGAACGGAATATATTTGGCAAGTGAATCGTATTTTTGCATTTACCTCTTTACTCATGAATGAAAATTCTTCTTCAGCTGATTTATCAACAGGAGCTTCGAATTGAAATTGTCTGTTTCCAACTACAAATGTTTTATCCTATGGAAGAGAAAAGTTCAGCTTAAAATTTGTACAGCATCACCAAGTGTGATAAAATATCACCAGGCAATATCCTGTTCAGCACTGGAACTATAAGACCAAGTGGGGAAGGCTAACCAGTTAAAGTAATCTCCTGAAAACAAAGCTAGTGAAACATCGAGCCGGCGCAATCTGCTGCTTTGCTGCACCTTTCCAACATTCGTTAAAGGTGGAAGCACTAGAGCAGTGCAAATAAAGCAAGAACATATTAAGCACTCCATTTCAGGGAACAATAAGAAAAAGCCAAGAGATGTGAATACTGGATGGCTTCACACATCAGATGTGTTATTAACAGAGCTGTGTGAGTTCTGCCCTTTAAGGTTTTCTTTGTAGGGATCCTGGGCAAAGCAGGAAT